AACATGTGGTGGCCTACTTCTGAAAAAAGATTTTTCTTCAATGTCAGTGTCGGAAAAAGCCCTCCTCATCTTTGTAAATTATGGTGAAAACTTTGTTTCTTCCATCAATGTTTATCTTGGCAAATTCCTGTTTTGTGTTTTTTTACGTTCTTTAATAACTTAAGCCCACTATTCACACACACACTTCAAAATGAGACTGTTCATAGAAAGCAAAAATTTTAAGGAATACATTCCTTTTCAGACAGTTCATTAACTAATAGGAATATCTCCAGCTTCCTTTAAAAATTCCATTTAGATTACTTACCTGATTTCTCTTTCTCCCAAAATATATGACATTTTCCAGAAATTAGGTTTTCAATAATTGGAGATATCACTATTACTGACTTTATAACTGGTTAAAAAAACAACTAATGGTAATAACATTATAATTTTTAGTTTAATACTTCTAACTGTATCCTTCTCAATTCTCACTAAAATTAAAGACTTTTATCATAATACAACCCCTGCAACTTTTGGTAGCATTTCACTAATCTGCCTGTACATATTTTTTATCAGAGTTAAACACTGTTATCAAGAATCCCGTAGAAAATATCAATACAGTTATTTTATTTTTCCTCTCCTTTCAGGCATCCCAACCTAAACCCTTATTATTTTCCAAATTCAGTGATATTTCTTCTCTTATAAAGCTTTCAACCCACTTCTTAAAAAGAAGCTAATTTTATATTTAACTTCCCCATGTATTATTAGGTTTACAGCTGAAAATACTGTTAACAGTGAAGGTACCTAAATGATAAAACAATACATTCTAATATTCATAAGTAAGAACATAAGCAAGGAATATTTAATTAGCTTCAATGATTACCAGGTTGACTTTTATTTTTGATACAGATAGATTGCTTGCTCCCATTGGAAGTTAATATTAGTTATATAAGTGATAAATTTGCCCCATCTTTAAAATCCATGACATGGCCCTTAAAGTCAAATATTTTCCTCAATTCTCTTTAATAAAGACATTTAACAGTTCTCCAAACACTTAATTTCTCACCTTAGTTAAATAGAAACACCATGTATGACCACTTTACTCTTTACCCTTAAAAATTGTCTTGCAGACCTAACCAATTTAACTGCTAATCCAAATAAACCTTTGATCATTTCTTACACCTTACTCATTTTTTTTTAAATCTGTACTTACTGTAACATGTACAATAACATACCTTTCAACTACATGACAATTTCTCTCTTCAAAGTTTCTAAGTAGCCTATTTTTTGTACAGTACTTGGTTAATAATCCCCAAGACCAGTGGTAGACACATCTGAAATTATTCGGTGATCAAAAAGGGGTGCCAAGGTCCATGGGTACTAAATAAGCCTTGTAATGTGTGTTCTTTTAATCTATATCTAAAATGTTTTATGGTGTACCAAAAGTACTGGAAGTGCAACTCTGCTCCCTCACAACACCTACACCTCCCACTTCCTCAGACCTGCCATTCACATAAGATAAAATATTCAGAAAATATTCTTACCTTTAATTTTTTCAGATAACCTGTTTTTTTCACATCAACATAAAGGCCACTACGATCTTGATTCTCACCAGCAGCTGGTGTTGTACCATCCTTTTTGGATTCTTTCTGTTTCTGAGACATTCTGGCAATAACCATAAAGTAGTTGAATTTTTTTCAACTTCTTTGCAAGTCACCAAGATTATGTTATAGTCACATGCTTATAATTGGAAAACATATGATGTCTCTAATGTAAACTCATGTTGATAACACACTAAAAATGGAACATCTGAAAAACAAAACACAGAAAAAAAAACTTTATTGTCTAGTTGTCTGCTTTGCAATTATTTGAACAGACCTTAAAACACAAAATTCCATTTCTATAAGCCAATCAGCCTACCTTCTATAAAATTTATTTATACTGCACATGAAATATATCAGTTTTCTTCTTTAAATACTCTATAAAAAATGACTTCATTACCATTTCGTACCTAATATGCCAAGCATTCAGTACATTTGAACAATGGACACAATTTCAAAACACTCAGTTTACCTCTAAGGTACGACAAAGTTAAGGAATACTTGTACAATGTACAAAACCCAGTCCCTTTCAGCTCTGTTGCAACTGGTTTTTACTACTTTCTAATTTAGTTTTAATTATAATAATTTATCTACTTATCTATACAAGTAACCATCACTGAGAAGTTAAAATAATTTTAATACATACTAAAGAGATTAGATAACACATACACTTTCTACCAATAGAGGCTTATGAACAGTCTGGCCAATATCATTCATATAAATATATATATATATATAT